AGAGTGTTTTTCAGTAAAAGTTAAGAAATTCATTAGATTTAGATGAAATGTTGAAAATACCAAAACTATTTGTAAATTGTCGTTGAAAACTTGAACTATATCTAACAATTTTAGTAGTGTTTAGAGAGTTTAAACTCTTAAACATTTATAGAAAATTATTAGATTTAACTGAAATCTTGAAAATACTGAAACTGTTTGTAAATTGAAAATAGTGACTTTGTAATATGAGTGAAAGTGAAACTTGCATAATATATAGTAAAATCCAGGAAGTCATGGATTGAAAAACATATAACGAAAATCTTATTTATATTTTGCAAATCTTATAATTATAGAATTTTATTTTAAAAACTGTTAAATATTTAATGGTAAATTTTGAAATCTAAACCTACGTTTTTCTACTAATCAAAGAAGCTTAATGAAACCTAAATGAGACTGACCTCAATCATTATCCATTAAATAGCACTTACCAACAGACTTACCTGTGTTACTTTAATCGTGATTTATTTATTTTTTGTTTTCGTTCCAATCTAATAGTGAAACGAAGAATTAAAGTATATAATTAATTGAAAAGAGTCGATGACATTTTCCAGGTCGAATCGATCGTGGAGGCAAAAGTCTCGATGCGAAATCCGATTGTTCCGATAAATAAATGGTACTTAAAAATCATTCTTTCTCTCTCTCTTTCTTTTGTTATTTTTGACTTTTACAGGCTTGATCGAGGATTCGGTCGGCGAACCGCGACGGTCTCGTTGCTCTCTTGAGCGTAATCTCGACCGATTACTTTAAATAGTCCGAAGAGAGGTCGTATACTATAAATGCAAAATGCATCTTTTACTTCTTAATCATTTCCTTCTCTACAATCTGCTCTTACACTTTATCTTACAAAATCTCTTCACACACAATCCGGAACTAAATTCCAATTGGAAACAATAACAGAATAAATTAAACTTAATTGCTAATTTGCTAAAGCAAAACATTGTTCAAAAAATTGCTGGAAATAAATGGTGAACAATTTCGGATGGTCCCGTGAGCAAAGGACGGAAGTCGAACAATAATTACATATCTTCTTGTATATATCTATAATTTGTTGTTGCAACGTACGAAATCTCGCTTTCAAGGAGAGTTAGTGTAATGCACAGTTCGATGAACCCGAAATTAAAAATTAGATTCGGTTCTTCCACGTTATTTTATTTTCGTTTTGCTTTCCAATCTCTTCGTAATGTCTGCATCTCGACGCAAGAAATGCATTTGACTTTCCCATGACCGACGCAAATCTAACGAGCTTCAAACAAACAAATGTTTTTTCGAGCGTTAATTTTTCACTACTTCAATTTTGAACTCGAATTACAGCCAAATGGATGAAATTACAGCAATAATTGAATTGTATCTATTATATTTCTTGAGAAAATCACTGCTTTTTGTGAGTTAATTGTTCATTATTTCATATATTAAAGGATATTATAGACAAATCAATTATTGAATTCACGTTGCATTCTTCAAATATCCAACTTTCATGTGCAATTTTTTCATCCATTGTATCTATTATAATTTTTTATTATTTCATATTTTAATTTATATTATAGACAAAACAATTATTGAATCCACGCTGCATTCACCAAATATCCAACTTTCATGTGCAAATTTTGGTTCCATTGTATCTATTCGAGTTTCTGAGAAAATCACTAAAATGTGAAGACATTGCATTTTTTGCGTTCATTTTTCATTTTTTTAATATTTTATAGGATTTTATAGACAAGCAATTATTGAATACACGTTGCATTCCCCAAATATCTAACTGTGCAAATGTGCAAATTTTTCATCCATTGTATTTATTATAGTTTTTGAGAAAATCACTAAAATGTGAAGACGCTACTTTTTATGCCAAATATCCAACTTTCATGTGCATATTTTGGATCCATTCTATCTATTATAGTTTCTGAAAAAATCACTAAAATGAGAACACTGCTTTTTGTGAGTTAATTGTTCATTATTTCATATATGGAAGGATATTATAGACAAAGCAATTATTGAATACACGTTGCATTCCCCAAATATCCAACTTTCATGTGCAAATTTTTCATCCATTGTATCTATTATAGTTTTTGAGAAAATCACTAAAATGTGAAGACACTACTTTTTATGCGTTAATTTTTCATTATTTCATATTTTAAAGGATATTATAGATAAAGCAATTATTGAATACACGTTGCATTCCCCAAACATCCAACTTTCATGTGCAAATTTTTCATTCATTGTATCTATTATAGTTTCTGAGAAAATCACTAAAATGTGAAGACACTGCAGTTTTTGAGTTAATTTGTCATTATTTCATATTCGAATGGATATTATAGACACGGCAATTATTGAATACACGTTGCATTCCCCAAATATCCAACTTTCATGTACAAATTTTGCATCCATTGTATCTATTACAGTTTCTGAGAAAATCATTAAAATGTGAATGTATAGCACAAATTATTATTTTTTTATAATTAATAAAATATTCATCATTACCTACAACGTAAAACGTGTTTGTTGTAACAACGATGGATACGATTGTGTCCGAAATTCGTTGATTCTATTTTCGTTTATTTGATCGATAAGTCTAATCACCTGAGTCTACAAATATAGAGTTTTCCATGGCCTACGACAGTGTTTCGATAACGGCTCAATTATTTACCTATTACAAACGCTGAAATAATTATATCATCCATTGGAAGCGCAGGCTATCGACCTTTTTTTGCCTATAGCAAAAGGCGGAAATCTAACGAAAGTGCTTATTAGCTAATAAATCATTAATATTCATAGCAGTTCTATAATTATTCAACCATTCATTAAAATTTGTTATAAATAATAACGAATCATAAGAAGGTTGTTATAATTATATTATGTTTGTTGTAGCAAGGATGCGAATTGCTTCACTTGTTTTACATCTGAAGGTAAAGGAGGAATAACACAAATTATAATTTTTATTTTTCGTACATGATGTTCATACAAGGTTTATAGTATATAGAATACTTGCCACTAATTATTAATATAGTAAAGTGTGTATGAGATATGTGTGATTTGCCAAAGTAGTAAAAGACTTTTTGTAGTACTTGTATTTAGTTAAGTATATCGAAGTAACGATAGGATAAAAGTAATTGATATATTTGTGATTTATACGATCTGGAAACTTTTACCACTTTTTTTTTGGTTCCATTTTGCTTCGATTTTAAGTTTAAATTGGATAAACCCGTTTTCGGCGTTTGATACTACAACAAATAGCGGAAAACACGTTCGCAACTGAATGCCCACATATTGTGCCATTGTTGTCGTTCGTTTTGTTTCTTCATTCCTCGTTTATATCTCCTTTTTTTTTTGGAGATCGGTAAAAGCCGTTTCAATCTTCTGTCCGAAAAGCGGATCCGCAACTTCCCGTTTCCACTCTCCGCCTCATTGTTCCGATTCCTCATCATCATCATCATCATCGTGTATGTCTGTTAAGCCGTCATCACCGGACAACACACAGACACACACAGGAAGAGAGCATTGCAAATGGAATAGAATATCTTTCGCCTGCATACCGAAACTGGCACAGCACAATGCACACGTCGCTTACGCAACAACGTTCGTTCTATTATTAAAATCGTGTTTCGGTTTTGTCTTCTTTGTCCCTCGCAATTATTTCCGTCCTGCGGAATGTCTTCGACACGCTGAAGGAGGAGGAGGAGATGGATGAGAAGTTGTCGACGTGGACGGTTCATTAACGCAATTAAAACTGCGCCAAGAGAAGAAAAAAATGAATAAGAGAGGAGCGCAAAAAAAAAAAATAATACGAGAAGACTATATGTATGAATGTGCGAAGAGGATGATGGCTTTCTAAGGTAATTGGATTTTCGCGCATTCCTCGCTCCGGCCAGCCGTTGCGAAGAATTTTCATTTAGATTGGATGCATTTGAATAGTGAATAGAAGAGTGCTCGTCCTCTTCGCCGTTGCCCAATCGATTCCCATAAGAAAACACCAGTTTTATTGTTATTCCGAGCATTCCTTCTACCTGCATTCTTATATCTATCATCGCGCATATTTATTTAATTAATGGACAACGCATATTTATCAATAGAAAAATTTAAATTGTACGCATACATTAATTCACAGTTTCGCAACTGTTATTGACTTGGATGGAAACGGTGCACGAGATTCATCTGTAGATTCACTTGAGACGTGCGTTTCATTCGCAAAGTACAAATCATCAAAGCATATTTCAATTTATAATAAGACATCAACAAAAATTATTTACATAAATGTATGAGAAAGGATGGAAATTTAAATGTTTGTTCTTCAAAGTAAATCTTCGAAACTTTTACGATCAAAGCATTTTCCAATTTATTTATTTTTTCTACTGTTTATAAAATTGTATTTTATTTGTTAATGAGAAATGATAAAAATGTCAAATTATTCATTTCTGTGGATAATTTATGTTTGTTAATATGATATGATTTTAGTATTAAAAACGGATAAAATATGAAAATTAATCGTAAGTCATTTCTTTATATTATTTTTTACATACATATTCAATCACAATTATCTACAAATACTTTATTATAAGTAATAACACGCCCTATTATACTTTACTTTCTAATATAAATTCAATGTTGAGATCTTATAGTTTGCAAATAATTTCAATTTCAATATTTTAATATATAAAGACTATAATTGTGCTTTTTTTATTTATTTTCAAGCTCATTACTTAAGTACAAATCTTTGTGATTATATCCAATTAAGTTGTTAAGTACTTGGATCTTTTTACAAGTACTTAAAGAACGGCAATATACATTAAGTGCTTGATTTACTCAATTGTAAGTACAACATTCAGCACTCGTCACGCAATGTTTGACAAGTTAATTGCGTCTGCAAATAGTGTTAAATTAATATTTTGTTATGTAAGAAATCTTGTCGGTTATTGTGAAATGTATATTTTTTCTTTATAATAATTAATTTTATGTGTGTTTAAATTCAGGTTGGTGCATCGTTCCATTTGACGAATGTGATGGTGTACGTCGCGGATTTGAACAAGATTCAACCGTTCGGCGGTCCTTCGACCTTTGCGGAGAGTCCGAGTCCGTTCAATCCGAATCAGAGCATCAGGAAGAGCTTCTCGAGGGCGGAAAGACCGGTCGGTCTGAGGAACCGGACCACCTTGGACGTCAGGACCATCGAGGAGAGCACTTCCGGTACGGATCCGGAAGAGGAAAGCTCGGCGGCGCACATCACAAATCGCATCGACTACGAGGAGATATTCAAAGGACGCGCAAGTGAGTCCATTCATTTTCCATATTCGAGAGTGTCGCAAATATTGAACATGCAAATGCACGAATATGGTTTGCAGCCGGTAATGAAAGTCGTCTCCTTGACTCGACTTTCACACATTTTATTATCCAATATATCAATGTTTTATTGGAAGCCTTCGCGCGCATTACTACATACAATTGTTGTTGTTTTTTTTTTGTCGGATTTCGTATTTTCTGTTTAAGTTTAAGGTAAATTCGTGACCCAATTTGGGTTTACGTGACGTAAAAATTTCGAAACGCGTGAAAAAGTTCCCAAGCAATTAGAAACAGAAATAAAACAAAGTAATTGCGTGTGTTGTGTGTGTGTGTTTCTTGCACGGCTTCTGGTTAGTTGTGGATTACAGTTTTGATTGGGATCTAATTATAAGTCGTAATTCTAATTTTGTGATTCTTGCAGTTGCAAGGACCCCACCTCCGGACCCGGAGCCGTTCTTAGAGCCAGCACCGCCGGTACTTGATTACACAGGTATTCAAAACAGTTTATTTGCCTCTTCTCGGCACTCATTAACACTCGATGTTTATGCGTTTTTCTTTTTTCTCTCTACTTCAAGTTGATCCAACGCAGCCGCAGGTTTTGGGAGAGTGCATGGATAAGAGTTTTGAGGCGCTTTCACTTGACCACAGCGTGAACTATCGCCAGGCGTCTCCTCCCTCAACACCCTCAACACCTTCAACCCTAAACACCACCTACGCCAGGTCAAAATCCAACTTGGATCAGGTGTACAACAGGAACTCAAAGTTGGAGCCCAAACCACCGCTGCAGGTCAAAGTGCAGCCGTCAACAAAATTCGGATTGCAGAGGCAAAGCAGCTGCAAGGAGAGTGGAGATAAGCCAGGAGCTCTGAAATCTTCAGGCAACATCAGACACAGTGTATCCGATGTTAATCTCAATAAGAACTTGTCAGCGCGCAATAATAATTCGCGCAAGAACTCCTTCTCGAAACCCACCGTTAAAATCACTGCGAGTGTCCCGAACGTTTCAAAAATACCGCGCAACAACGAGAGACCTCTTAGGCCAGTGCAAATCACCCCCGTGGACGTTTATGTTAGCCCTAAGATCAGCCCCGACGATGAGATCTCGACTGAGAACCAGTTCATTCCTATATCCATTGACAAACCCGTCGGACTGCCAGTCGACGATTTTCTACCTGTAATACCAACTAATTTAAACATGCTTACATCTTAACTAATCGTTAAATATTTCAGACGCAACATAGTTATAGACACCAGCAACAGCTGCCCGACATGTCTGAAACGGAGGTGCTGGGCGTTATCCTCAAGAAGCACGACCCAATGCTTTCAGTACTGATCACGAGGCAGCGGAATCTCAAAATTGTCTTCGCTCAATACAAGAATAAGGACATAAAGGCCGCTTTGGAGGCGGCTTTAATGATCAAAGACCAATCGGTGATTATCGATCTTTTGACAGTGTTAAACACGAAATAGTAAGCATCTCAACAAAACAAACAATCCAAGTAACGTATTAATATTAATTTCCATTTCCAATTTGCAGTAGCCTATGGAACTTGGATTTGTGCGTGCTGATGCTGCCCAAAATAGAGGAGCTGCTACAAAGCAAATACGAAACGTGAGTATTTCTCATCAAATTTTTCGTAATTCAATGAACAACGAGCATTGTGCATTCTCTGAGTCGAAGAAAGTACTTCCCAAGCGCGACAGTAATAATACTATCGCTTGAAGTTTGTTTTTTTCGATAATAATGTATTTATTTTTTTTTTGTTTCGTATTCTGAGGAATAGAAATTACGCGGTAGAAACTTTGCACCTAGTAATTCTATTCTATCGACAAACGAAACACGCCTCTCTTTTCGCTTATATTTACTGGTTGCATTAGCACAACTATAACGGATCGTATACTAATTACAAGGTCATTCTATAATAATCTGAGTGCATTGAACAAATTGCCAAGACAATATTTGCCAATTCATTCCAACAATAACAGATTAGTGACATGTTTGGGCTAAACTACAGGCAAATATTGCCAATTTAAATTAGAGGATTATAATTATGAAATCCAGGAAATGAAATCCAAGTATCAATTATCATCTTAACAGATAAGTTACATTAACTTCTAAAAAAGCAAACGTTTTAGCAATGTTTTGATAATATCGTTTCAAAATAACTTAATTTGTTTATTTCCATTAAACGAAATCGCATTTTTAAGTTATTTTAAATAGAAAATCCTGAGAAAATTAGATTTATTTCATAATTATATAATCATGGATAGATGGCGTTGATTGATAACTTTTGATACATTGCCGTAAGGTGTCGCTTCTGTACACTGAAAATATTACTTAAAAATATAGCAAAGGGATCTTTTTTATTCAATGAAATAGAAGTTCAAATTGATATTGAGACAATTAAATTAAAGGCCCTATAAATTAATCAAATTTGGTATTACTAGTGCAGTTTATTCTTTGCGACCAGATATAAAAAATTAACAGTAATTGAATTAATAACTGGTAGAACAAGTGTATTATTTTGGAATTTTTATTTAAAATAATATATATTGTTATATATTCGTAGCCTCTGGTGTACAAATAAGAAAAAAATAGGGAATACCAAAACATATAAGAAGGCAACCAAATTAACATTTGTGTATTTGTTGGTTGCCTACATTCGTATACACTTTCTTATTGGATGTGAACGAGTATAGATGGCGCATATTGTCTGGAAAATACATTTCTATAATGCTGCTTCCACACTGTGTTTAACATAAAACTTATATGTTTATCATGCTTATCCATTGTCATGTCCTTATGGCAAATCGGGGATTGCTAATGAAGTTTATTACTTACATGAATAATGGTGTAAAATTTATTTTTGTAATAAATCTTTGCCCAGATATAAAAATTTAATAATATTTCAGTACTTGAATTATTATATTTGACATATTGCGTTTAAATTGCTAATATTGCTGCACTTTAAATGGTAGAACAAGTGTATTCATTTTGGTGTTTGCTCTGGTTTATGAAGAAATTGAGTAAAAAATTATATGACTAGGCAACAAAACTTACATTTGTGCATTTGTTGGTTGCATACATTAGTAGACCATTTTCTCATTGGTTCATATCCAATGAGAAAATGGCCTATAGATGGCGCAGATTGTCTCGAAAATACATGTATTTCTATAATGCTGCATCCACACTGTACTTAACATAACACTTTTATGTATATTATGCATATCCATGACAACACAAAATAATAGTATTTCACAGATAATGAGGATTAATTTATTTTAAAATTACTTTGCAATAAAAAAAATAGTGCAATTATTTAAATATTTTTTAAACTTTTTAATAATCCTTTTGCAAAACAAAGACATAATTATTTCATAAAAAATACAGTAAATATAAATTATTATACTTAAATTAATATAAATTATTCACTATTTCTTCGTTATTTTTCATTTTTAGAAAGTTTTGAAAAGTTTATAAAATTAAAATTCGTAAAAATAACTTAATAATCTACCTGTAAGAAATTTATTTTTACTAAGTATTTCCGAGATTTTGCGAATGCTATTAATTAGGGTTCGGGACAGGAAAGGTTACAACCTTCTGCTGAAAAATCATTATGGCCTCAAGTTCCAACGAGGATATAATGATAGCAATGTCATTATGTCCTCGTCGGTGAGTGAATTTTGAAGAATTGGGGTGGAAACTGATCTCGTGTTGCTAATTGGGGGGCTTTCGTGTGTGTCCTTTTTAATTTTCTACCATATTTTTTTTCCTATGTGTGCGCTATTTGTTAACTGATTATCGATTTCCGCTTCTCTGTCTTCCATTTGTATACGTTGTTGCGTTCTGTATACATATATATTTTTTTTTTACACTTTTTCTACCGTTACGTTATGCGCCTCTCTTCTGCCAGCTGACGTTTCCCGTCTGAATCCACCCTCGAGGAAGCATTTCAGGAAAGTAACATACAAAAAAAGAAATGAAGAGAATACGGATAATAATAATTAATATTCACTTCGTTAGTGCGAAACTAAAATGTGGATACCGCGAATTGTTTAATAGATTAACTAGAAACGGTTTAGGTCTTCTAGGTCTTTGTTTGCTTTGTTTTTAATAAAGTGAATCATGAAATTGCTACGAAACCATCTAGCAATTAGTCGTATGCATGTGGGAGAGACAGCTAGATGTTTAATGATCATCGGAGCTAAGAGAGTCAGTTATTAAATTGATTTGTGTGAACGTGTTTATATATTCGTTTTAATGGGCCGTTTCCCGTCGGCGCAGCCGAAAAAGCCTTCCCCCCTGTAATTAAAGTTTTTAACGCACCGTGTAACTTCACGTTCCTTCGCCTTTTTTTTGTTTTGTTGTTGTTCTGTTCTGGTGTTGCGCTGCTACAAGCCATCATTCTGCACGAACGTTTAACGACGCGTGTAAACGTGGGAGGATGTTCGCCTCGGACCAGAGACCAGCAGCAGCAGCAATAATGGGGCGAAATTTCGCGGGTCAAGTCGCGATTATTCGATATTATATTCATGGGGGCTGTGCGGAACGGATCGTCACGTAATAACGGATTCGATGCGGCAGGGGTGCGTTTGTTTCAGAAAACTGGGAGAGAAACCCTTTGACTGTGAGAACAAACACAAACGAAAAAAAGAAACCATTCAACTGATTTGTTTATATTTGTATAATGTTATAAGTGTATACAAGTATATGCGTACCTGGACACTTTTGAGTGACGTTTTATGCAGATCAGCGTGAATGCAATTTGACACTCGAGTGTCTTTTCCCTTTTGTTCGGTGCTCTGTTTTGGCACTCGTATGCTAAAGAGTTTTGATACATATAAATATGTTTATTGAGTTTCCATCCACTTCAGCCATGCATCGACAATAATGGAAAGAGACACAAAAAAGATGAGGAGAATCCAGTGTGGATGTTGAAGAGATCTATTGGGATCCCCTTGTGCTGGGGCTGATGGGTCTTAGGGGCGTGCAGCTGCCCTTCAACATATCGACACTCTCTCACAATCCATTTAACAAATCATCAGTTTAATTGCATTAAACTGACTCTACCTCTCTATATACGAATTGCTGCTGCTCTTACGTAACTTTGTTACTATCATTTACGCTATTTAACTCAATTTGTAATTGAACATGAATCATTTCATTTGATCCAATTTTACGTGATTGCCCTAAGTAATTCATAGAAATACTGTAGTCATAAACTACAATATTCAACACTTATTTATATAAGCAAGCATTCAACTTATATAACAATAGAATAATAGGTTTTGCAGAAGTTTTACATAGTAAAAAATTGTAACTTTTGTCGAAATTGTTAACTTTATTCTATTTATCTGAAGCAATTCTAAACCTTTTGATCAATATTTAATTACATCAAACTGTTCTAAAAAGTACATTATATAACTATTTTTTTTTAATTGTAAAATTCTTGGTAATTCCGCTTTGATAAAGAGAATTTCTATTTCAAACTCCCTTAAAATTTGTACAGATTATATAATAATAGAATAATTAGTTTTACAGAAGTTTTACATAGTAAAAATTGTAACTTTAGTCGAAATTGTTAACTTTTAATTAATATTATCTGAAACAATTCTAAACCTCTTGATCAATATTTAATTACATCAAACTGTTCTAAAAAGTACATTATATAAATATTTTTTTTAATTGTAAGATTCTTGGTAATTCCGCTTTGATAAAGAGAATTTCTATTTCAAACTCACTTAAAATTTGTACAGATTATAGATTATATAATAATAGAATAATTGGTTTTACAGAAGTTTTACATAGTAAAAAATTGTAACTTTAGTCGAAATTGTTAACTTTTAATTAATATTATCTGAAACAATTCTAAACCTCTTGATCAATATTTAATTACATCAAACTGTTCTAAAAAGTACATTATATAACTATTTTTTTAATTGTAAAATTCTTGGTAATTCCGCTTTGATAAAGAGAATTTCTATTTCAAACTCACTTGAAATTTGTACAGATTACAGATTATATAATAATAGAATAATTAGTTTTACAGAAGTTTTACATAGTAAAAAATTGTAACTTTAGTCGAAATTGTTAACTTTTAATTAATATTATCTGAAACAATTCTAAACCTTTTGATCAATATTTAATTACATCAAAATGTTCTAAAAAGTACATTATATAACTATTTTTTTAAATTGTCAGATTCTTGGTACTTCCGCTTTGATAAAGAGAATTTCTATTTCAAACTCACTTAAAATTTGTACAGATTATATAATAATAGAATAATTGGTTTTACAGAAGTTTTACATAGTAAAAAATTGTAAGTTTAGTCGAAATTGTTAACTTTTAATTAATATTATCTGAAACAAT